AGGGGGAGGGAGAGGGAGAGATTTGCTGTTCCACTTAGCTTCCTTGGTTGCTTCTTATATGTGCCCTACCTGGGGATTGAACCTGCAACATTGGCATATTAGGATGACACTCTAACCAACTAAGCTACCTGGCCAGGGTGAGAAAACATACTTTTTTAGTTTATTATTTAAACATTTAAACAATTTTTTTTAAAAGAGAGAAATGAAGGGAGAGGTAGAAACATCAATGATGAGAGAATCATGGATCAGCTGCCTCCTGCTACCCCACACTGGGGATCGAACCTGCAACCCAGGCATGTGCCTTGACTGGGCATCGAACCGTGACCCTGTGGTTCATAGGTCGACGCTCAACCCCCGGCCAGGCAAGAAACATACATTTTAAACCTGCAACTCTGATTAAGGCTCACAATAAGGCATGTGCAAGGGATACGGGACGTCTTCGTCCATTCAGGCCGCTGTAACAAAACACCACCGACTGCTCATCAACAACAGAAATGCCTTTCTCCCAGCTCTGGAGGCTGAAACCCAAGACCAACTGCAGGCTCAACCAACCCCTTGCCTGGGGCCAGGAGCATGTGGAAGGCAACCAATCCATGTGTCGTCCACCCCCCCGCCCTCCATTCTAAGAATCAATGGAAAAAATATTTAACAAAAGTAAAAAATAAGAATAAACCTGGGCCCGAGTCTCGGCAGTCTCCAGGACTGTGGGTGGGGTGTCTCCCTGTCGCTCTGCACTCTGACCTGCACAGCATTCCTGGAGGTGGCTGGCTGGCTAACGGAGCCTACCACCTCCTTTTCCTTTTCCAAGACTTCGAAAGACCAGTAACCAACGGCGCTAGTTCCACTTCCCTCACCATTAACACCAACCGACTTCAAATTCCATGCAGTTCCCATCCTGCTCTTTGCCTTGTTTGCATTGGGCAAATGGTTTTCAGGCCACCTCTCCTCCCCCAGCTGTTTTCTTCACGTGTAAGGAGATGAGACAGTACAGCTGATGCCGTTCCCCTGCTGTTCCCACAGCTTCTGAAGAGTTGGGTCTTTGGAGCCGATGGGCTTTTGCAGCGGTTACGTGAGGAGCCACAGGAAGAAAAGGACCGGAAGTGTGTGATGGTGGAGGGTGGCATGCTAGGCCCTCTCTACTCTGCGAGGACCACCCTCACACCGCTTGGAAGAAATGATGGCTGACCAGTGGCACGCGCCCCCTACATCTGTGGAATGTTCTGTTTTTCAACGAGGAGTGGTGTCTGCCCACCCAGATGATAACCACAGGAGCGAGGGCCTCATCGATTCCAGGCCTTGGCAGGATGAGCTTTTTTAAGATAAGAGAACTCACAGATGAAGCCCTGGAGAGTGACATCATTTCATCCTCAGAGCACCGCACATGTTCTCACGGAGGAAGCAGCGGAGAGCAGCGGAAGCAGGGATTCTGGATTCAGTTAACATTCCTCCGCTGTGAATGAGCCATGCAACATTGTAAGTCACAAACCTATCTGGTTTTTTATTTCTCTCCTTTGTAAATGAGGATGCAGTGAGATGCTGTAAACTCGTACATTACTATTCAAATTATCTTCTTTTTATAACATCGATTGGGGCACTGGAGAGAATAGTGACGGGGGGCCGGGGGGAGCCCCACCAGCCAGGTTTGTTCACCTTCTCCAAAGGAGCGAGAATGAAGGAGCCAGGGGGTGGAAACTAACATGTTAGGGGCACTTCTCTTTGCCTCTTACATTTACCGCTGATAACAAGGCTCCTTACTGCATAGTCACAGGAACATAGGAAAAAAGTGGAAAATCGAGACTTCAGTCAGATGGACCTGGAGTAACCACTGCCTGAGACACGGGCTATTGGGCAGGGAAATTGCCCGGCCTCCCCAAGCCTGTGTCCTTAGCTACATAACAGGAATAGCCCGTTAGGGTAATTGTGAAGGTTTCCTGCGAGAGCTCATGAAAAAGGGCCTAATAGTGTGTGGGCATGGTGGCTGCTCAGTAAGTGCAAGTTCCATTCTCTCCTTCATAGAGAGGAATTGCTGCATTTATGAATATAACTTTGTTAGCCATTGATTAAGAAGCATCGAAACCCATGAATGGAATTACACATGGAAGAGAAAATTCAAGTAAAAACCTCCATAGAACTTTTCGCTCTGTGATAATTATCTTGGAGAGGTAATATGCTAATTAGGGTATAAGGAAACAGAAGCTAAAATTCTGAGTGATTTTGAAAACTGTGTTATACAATAAAATGTGCATGAAGTCACATGGCTTCCAATTCATTCCACTCCGTCTTACTGACTCTCACCATTTGGTAGCACTTAAGTGCATAAAAACCTTAAGGATATGGTTCGCCATTAAAGGGGAAATACACAAGCAAACAAAGCACCCTTGGCCTTCTTCCTTCCCGTCTTTAAACGACCCCCATTTGACTCCAGAACAACAATCCGAAGAGCAGCACCGTTTAGCTGAAATTTCAGCTTACGTGCTTCTACAGCTTCTCAGCTGAGCTGTCATTTGTAAGCCTTTTAAAAATTAATTATTAAAACCATCTCCATTAGTCTTTATGGGGGGCCTTCATGGAACCATTTTTCTTTTGCTGTTTAACAAGTGAAAGCCACCAGCATTAGCTATAAATACGCACACCAGATTTGGGAGAGGGCGTAGGACTCATGCCGGGCTGCTCCCTAGGGCTCGCCTGCATTCTGGGAAACCGCATCAGGTCCCTCTGAACCGAAGGCACACTCCCAACCAGCGGCCACAGGACCAGTTCTCCTCTTGGTCAGTTCCTTCCACTCGCCTTCTTGGTGACACTGATTCACTTGGCCCGGTGTAAAGTTACTCCTTTCTGTCCATCTTTCTGTTGTCCGTCCATCTAGCCATCACACGTCATTTTTACTATCAACTCTGTGCCTCACGCTGGAGGAAGGACATTAAAGAGGATGCGCCTGCCCTCAGAAAGAACACAACTGCGGCGGGGGAGCACCGGACAAGTAAATGAACTACTGTGACGTAGCAACTGCTATGACAGAGAAATGAAATGAACGGCCTGGAAGCCCGACCAGGGCATTAGGGGAGATTTATAGGAAAAGAGCACAATGCAATGCCGTTGAAATCAAAGGTCAGGAGGAGCTTCCCTAATAGAAGGATGGCAAAGGCACAGGACTGCCAACAGAACTTTCTGGAGATAATCTTTGTTAGGAATGGCCAGATTGGCCTTCAGATGGTGCATCACACACTACCAGACAAAACTGGGGACGCAGCTGAGCAGGGAGGCTACTCAGGTGTGCCCTGCACATTGGGCTTTAGTAAAAGATTTCTTTTTAAAGAGTAAGTTCCACTGTAGATGATGAAGTGACTATCTAAGTGGAGGAGTTAGTGCCTCATCCTCAGATTGAGTGATAGACTGCTGTTGTTGCCTCATTCCCTGCAGGACAGTGCGTCTCAACAGTCTAGGCCAGTGGTCGACAAACTGCAGCTCTTTGGCCCCTTGAGCGTGGCTCTTTCACAAAATACCACGTGGGGGTGCACATGTACAGTGTGATTGAAACTTCGTGGCCCATGCGCAGAAGTTGGTATTTTGTGGACCAACTGGTCATCATGCCGACCACTGGTCTAGGCCATAAAAAACCTGGGATTGCTTTAACAATCCTAACCACAAGGAACAAATCTGACAAAACCGGCCGGGGAAACGTGGGTTAAATGTTGCAAGCGCTGCTGTGCAAGCCAATGCTGCAATGTGGGATGCCCTGAGGTGCAGGGACAAACTGATCTGGTAGGGCCATGCCCTCCTGACATGGTGACCAGCAGAGAATGGGCAGGTAGGGAAAGCTACACTTTTATCTACCTTGTTAGTAAAAACATGAACATTCAAGTTACAACATGCACGGTGCCTGACGTACAAAATGAGGCTCCCCTGGCTCCAGTTACCGCGGTTATTAGGAAAGTCTGGCTACAAGGACATGATTTAGTTCTCTTTAAAAATCATTGCCAATAGAAATAAAATACATAAATACCTGTTTTATAAGCCTTTAAAGTTGGGGGGAAGCCTTTAAAGCGGTATTAGAGCATGTCATGATGAACTCCCTAGTACAATCTTTGCTGTAGTAACGGTGTCTGTGCTGCCTTGAAATGACACTTGTCACAACTCACACCAGCGGTTCTCAACCTGTGGGTCGCAACCCCTTTGGGAGTCGAATGACCCT